TCTTATTGAAATTATGTATATTTTTACGGGCATATAAAATATTTGAGTAAATGTACTGTGATGCCACAGTCATGATACCAGTCTCCTTAAACTTTTCTCTGAGAGATACCCGAGAGCCTAGACGGTACACAGAACGAATCGCTCGTTTTTGCAATACAAATATGGTTTGAATATCTGCCGCTTTACCCCACATGAGAATCCCGTAGGACATTATACTATGGAAGTAACTAAAGTAAACTAGTCTAGCAGTACTAACATCGGTATGTTAGGATGAGTGTTTTTTTCAGTTTCGTGAAGATACTATATAAAAAAGTGTCCAATGAAGTAAGGTGGCATACTTCTACCATTTAGCAGTAATGTGAACATTAGTGCGTTCCAGTTTTGAATGGTGTTGGTGAAATTACAGGCATATCAGACTTGTAAAATTTTTGGCTCGGCGTGACGGATGCAGCAGCAGCAGCACCTCAGATCTTTATGAACAGACGTGTAGCTTACCACCAGCCCCACGGCTTGTTCGTCCCGTCACTTGATGTCACAAATAATTATAACTTTTTTATTAAATAACACCAACCTCAAAAGTTGGCTCATCGGCTTTTTTATTGGAATACACCTGTTTGCTAAGTTTTATTGAAATTGGTCAAAGGAAAGTGCACGAAACCGGATCCATCCCCTAGTTTAAATTAACTATTTAAATGGAACCAATACTGAGGCACTCTTCGAACAAAAAAAATAATAATCAAAATCGGTTCGCAAAGGGGTGTAATCGGGTAGTATAAACACAAAAAAACCAGTTGAATTGAAAACATCTTACTTTTTTGAAGTACCTAGATTAAAAAATTAAACTCCCATTGACACATATATCATCTATTCATACTACAAGACTTTCACTATGTACCATGAGTACTTAAGGTAAACCTGCAACAGATAAAGGAAACAAACGTATCATTTAAATGCACAGCATTTTACATATGCGTCATAAATCTTCGGCTGATGCCTGGTAGCATGCAGATGTGTGAGCACCTGCACAAGTCGTGATTAGGAACGTGCCACAGTTCGTGACCGGGGGACTGCTAAGAGGTCATGCCTTCAAGCGTAGAGGAAATTGATAGCCACTGATGCACCACGGTATTGCTTATTATGTTGTAGTTTCAATCATGTTTATGGTTTGTCAGTTTAAAAGGAAACTACATACAAGAATACCCATATTTTCTTTACATATCGTCTACTAAAGAAATCTTTAAAAGAAAGTCAAAAATTATCTCTCCTTTGACTCCTTTTCGCTCATTTACAAAGTAAAATAATGACAGCTCCGAAAAATAAATGAAATTGCAGCCAAATGTAGCTAACTGTGACTAAACAAGTTGCGTTAGAAAGAGTTACTGGAAAACAAACTTTAAAATATATCATTGACTTACAAATATATGGACGACGGGTCTAATACAAAAACCAGGAAAAAATGTCCCAAGTCAACCTATTTAAGCGTAGTGACATGTAAAGGAATACGAAAAAGCTAAAACGTTGAATTTAAATTGTAATGTCATCGCAGTACTGTCTAATTTTGCTTGCTTCGCTGTCAGTTGAACAAACGAAGACTAAAGCGTGAATGACGCTCTGTATACGATTTTAACGCCCTATAAGTTCGGACACTTTTTAGCGCGGACCCGACGTCCATATAATTGTAAGTCAATGAAATATATCGACAAAATTAATCAATTATTTAACAAACAATCAAAAGTTTGTTCAAATTACTATTCTCAGAAAAATAACTGTACTTCCGAATAATACGCTAAAGTACCGAAATAAATACATACATGTTCTTCTATAAAAACGTTAGTAGGAACCAACTTAATTTGTATTGTATTATACTTTTTGAGTGCTCAGTTTTAACGAAAATTACTACTACCGTAAAGCGTGCGGTGGGATTGCTTCGTGCGAGCTTCAAACGCGACGCCATCTTGACATTTTATGGAGCTTTTACTTCGGTAGTCTTTCTGAACAGAAAGAAATATAATTAATACAGGGGGTTGATTCAGAACTTTACTATAACTCAGTTCTTGACCGATCCGATTTGATATCGTACGATTTCTTATAATTTTTGGATGTCGAACTGTCGTATTCGAAACCGAACCGAAATTACGCCAAAACCCGTACGATTTCTCGAACTTCTCGAGCGACAAAGGCTACAAACGTTATTCAGAACACAGCTATCGAATGAAAGTTACCGAACGCTCTGTTGTATACAAAGCAAGAATGTAATATGGAAATCTCTTATTATTTTAAATAAAGTCAGGATTTTCTTCAACTTTATTAATTTATTATAATGCAAGACTAATGCATGCCTTTATACTAGGATTTTAAAGTCTTAAAAATGTATATATAAAAGGATTTTCATTTTTCTTATAATTTATTTCACCGACTAACTCCGTAAACACTGGTGGATAACGATATCGTATAAGTATCCGAATCGAACGTGTATCTCGAATGTTCTGAATAGCTCGGAAAGCGACCTTCGATTCGAGAACGATATCCAATCCAACGATTCGGTTAAAATAACGAAGAGTTCTTCTGAATCGGGGCCTAGGATAGAAGTCTTAGAATCGACAATTTTAGACTTTCCAGTTTAATAGTTAAATTAATTTCCCTCACAACAACTTATTTGTAGCCATAAAGTAGTGTAAAAGGAATATTGTTTTAAATGTAAATAAACAATGTAAAATAGAGTATTGTTAATGTTTAAATAATACTACAGTAAAATAAAACTAGAACTAGAACATGTCAATGCAGTAAATCAAAATTGAATGTTGCACGTAACTGTACAAAAACATTTTTTTCAATATATAACTATTATACACATGTATTGGGAATATTAATATGTAAATTAGTCGTAGTTATAATCAATTCATCGGAAAGGCTTTATTTCTCATTGGAAATTTGCGCGCAAAGGCGTCTTTTCCACACTAGCGTGGAAAAGGTTTTTGAAACGATGATTGTGGTGCACCTAACTTTTTCTTTCGATGAAGAAAAACGTAATGACACGTTCAACTACGCGATTTGTCGTACATTATTTATGTAATATAAATCCGTTGGCATATTTTGTTCATAATATTGTTGACATTAAATTGACAACAATAACCAATTTTATTTATTAAATTATTTTGTTATAGTTCAACTATTTTACTTTCATTTACAATTTTCCTCGCTATAGTGAGGTGAAAAGATGTGTATTTCGCTCTGTAGCAAAGTTGTTTTGCGTTTTGTGACTTGAAACCCTCGCTACGCTCTGGATTCTATTTTTAAATCACTCGCTTCCTTCGCTTGTTCAGATTTCAATACAAGCACTCGTGTCGAACAACGACTTTGCATAATAAATAACTATTATTTATAAAACATATTAAATGTTATTAGAATAATTTCTACAGATGGAAGGCTATTCGATGTTTATCGTGACTGTGGTGCACTTGAATTGGTTTGTGTTAGTAAAATAATCAGTCAACAACGACAGACTGAAAATTAGTATCGCGTGGCACATAGCCACAAGGATGAAACTGAGCCTGTTCCTTACAGGCCCTGTAGTAGTTCTGATGATATTGTTATATGTTCTGTTTTATATTGTTATACTGGTAAATATATGATTTAAATAATGTTTCATCACTAAATTTTGATATTTATTAGGAGTTCTCAGAGAGTCTCATGATAGTGTTTCTGAGTATGATAAAATACTTTAACAAGCACTAAAGTTTAAGCAATATTATATAGATAGCTTTTAAATTATTAATAAATGATTAACCATAAATATAGTCTACAATCGTTTTGGGTAAAATATTAATTAAGTTAGTAGTTAAAATTCTATTATATCTTACTGCTATTACAATAGTGTTGTAACTCAAAATATGTGAATTTCATGATTATAATTATTGCTTAGGAAAAATTAGCAATTAGGGAGCAGAGGAAAAATTCCTAACCTTCGAATTAATTTTAGAGCAGTATATTCACATTTGATTTTAGAGGAGTATAAGTAACTACACGATATATTCAAGCATAGACATTAATCAGAAACATAAAACAATAAAGATTCCTCGATAGATAAAAATCACGAAATGACCTCTAATTTTCACATTTTTCCGATTCATCCTCGAAATGCTACAGGTTATTAGGACAAAAATTTGATAATTAATTATATTTATGCCTGATCGACAACTGTCACTACAGATTTTTTTTAATACCTTTAGTTTTAGAGTTGTTCCGCTAAAACGAATTTGGTACTTTAATGCACAAAATTCAACATCTCCTGTCGCATGTCATGCGAACTTCAGGCATATATTTGTTTCACAAATTTGGGCGGAGGCAACGTCAAAACTTTTTTGGCAGAGAGCTCTTAAAGTAAAATTTGATTTTTTATAAGTCAATAAAACCGTCGCTAGAAATTCGTAAGAAACAATTAAAAGTTGTCGACTTAACTCAAAATGAGACAAACTTTATGTGGCTAGTTCTGGTAAAAACCTACAGTCCTTAATAAAAGTGGAAGTAATTTGCTACTCCGCGAACCCAGAAGGTTAAATAGTGCATAATAGCTGCGCTTGTATTAAATATCTCCATAAATGGAGAACTAATAAAACTATAAAAATTAATAACCTTATTATAATTTTCATAGTTTTATTAGTTCTACTTTTATTAGTACTACCTAGTACAATAGGGTACTCAAAGTACTTATTCTACGCAGATGGCTGAATTAGAATCTTCGCTATCGTACCTGACGCTCTCTTAACTGAACTACGGGACCACCATTAGACCATACGAATTTTTCTATGTGCTTGTTGCAGATCTTTGTTTTTGGTTTTTTAACGATTTTTACCGTAGCGCCATCTGTGAGAAATCTATGAAAGTTTTACGTCACTCGCTTGGTACCTTTACAGATACCAACTCGATATTGTTTACTTTTATCATATTATGTATCTGTTTGTGATATTTTCCATCACCTGTCAAATTATTATCATCCACAGTGCCACCAGACATAATAAACGAGGAGACATCCGCAGACGTATCAGCTCAGGAATTGGACAACATAACTCTCCTTTGCAGAGCATCGGGTCATCCACCTCCTAAGATCACGTGGAGAAGAGAAGACTACGAGCCCATGCTATTGAAGAAAATTGGCAATAGGGATTTTTTTAAAGGTAAAGTAACGTTATCGATTAGAAGGAACTCAGTTAAAAAGGGTATAACCCATTATGAATGAAATTGACTCCGTGGCCGAACGGTTACCATACCGAACTGCCACGCAGAGGTCCCCGGTTCGATTCCTGGGCCGGGAGAAAAGTTTTATTTCTCTCGTGAGTTTGGGTGTAATTTGTAGTTGTGTATGTGTGTGTATGGCATGCTCAATACAGGATCCCTAGTGCGGGTCTTAAAAAAAATTGTAAAAAAAAGATAGTGAGAAAATAAAAAATAAAAACTCACTTTTTGGAGCATATTCTGCCAATATGCTCCAATACTTTGAGAAATTGTAATGCAGGAAAGATACAATCACTAAAAACCAAGTTGAACGATGGTTCAAGAATTTCAAATTCATTCATCTTTTTAACCGACTTCAAAAAAGGAGGAAGTTCTCAATTCGACTCTATGTCTCTTTTTTCTATATATGTTAATATAACTACGACGATAACTCCGGCATCGATTTGGACGATTTTTTTTTTATTGGAATGAGGGTACCTCAGAGGTGGTCTCATTTAAATTACAAGAAAATGTTCCACCTCTAAGGGTAGCAAACTTGGGTATGAATCCGTTTTCGCGCACTTTCCGGTAACCGATGTCAATAAAACTTGCAAATAGATATAATTCCACGAACTTTTGAGGTCGGTTTTTTTTAGTACTCTGTATCTCTGTAGATTATTCATTTGTAAAGAGGACGAAAGACTGACAAGAGAACGTTAAACAAAACATTATTGTGAATCATTCGACCATCGTTCGCCATTTGAAAAAACTCGGATAAGTGTGGATATTGACTGGACTGGCCCCATACGAACTCTTCAACTAAAACAATGTTGAAACAACCCGAATTTGCTGCTGTTTGCTGCTGCAAACTCAATAACAAGGCCGCATTGTTACGCACCAACCTAACAGATTAGTAAATTCGTTACAGTAGCTTTGAATTTTTACCTTAATTTTGCTCTCTTAACCCGTTCATGGACAGTACACTACCTAAATGTCACTTGTTTTCTTTGTGACGTCGTGGAATTATTTACATAGAACATTTTATTTTTCATTATAGTACTAGTAGAGCTCCATGTGAAAGAGTTTGTCCAGGGAAGTACTGCCACCTTCCCTATTTCTGCCGTCAAGCAGTAATGTCAGTATTACTGTATTCCGGTTTTGAAGGGTGACGGGCGCAGTGGTGTGTCCATCAGATATTTGCGATTTAAAGCTCTGAGTGGCACTAACTGTTATGCACAGGCGTGTAGCTTACCATCAGCCACACGACTTTTTCGTCCCGTCACTTGATGTTATATATGTATAAAAATATATTGATTTAATACAAAATGTTCAATGTAAATCATTGAATTTTGGTAGTGCGTCGTTAATACTTCTCTATGGAGAAGCAGCAGGCAGGCAGCTACACTAGAAAGCACATAGCGAAATGGGATCTCTCATATTATCATATTCAACCCATTTGTACGTCCCACTCATCGAGTATTTAACCAGAAATAGAGGCGAAATAAGGGCCATATATTCCTGGTAACACATTAGCGATACAGCTCTTATAAATATCAACTCCCGTTTGCACTGAAATATAGAACTACTGACCTGTGCGTACGTCTCCGTATATTCCAAAAAATATTCTGTATTTATTGTAATAAAGATAATATCTCTAAGAATGCCGTGCTGTTCTATTCGGTGGTGTGGGAAAAACAGCAAAACATCTAATTACAAAACAAACGGAATCACATTTCATCGTTATATATATACAGGGTGGAAATTTGTAAATACTGGAGATACAAATTTTTACTTAAAGGAAACATTCCTTTATTTTTAAAAAGAATTAATACTGCATTCAAAGATTTTCGAAAATTGCTAGCCACACGCGGAAATCGAACCCGCTACAATGTTTAAAAAATGCATCCTGTACTTTTATTAAATCAATAGATAGGGTCAATTATGAGGATGAAATCTCTCTTACAAACCATGAAATCTGGAGTTATAAATTCAATGGGTCAAGTTAAAGCACTTTTACTCAAAGGTCCATCAGATTAGTTGTTAATTATCGTTGACGTCATTTATCCATTAAAATGACGAAGTACTATTTAAAAATCAAATTTACCTTAAATCCTATGCGAGTGTAAACGAGTGAAGGCTGAGGTTCAGAATACGATTTGTAATACAATTCATCACAACACTTTATTAAAAGTTACTCAAAATGAATTTGTTAAAAGATTAAATTTGTGTATCGAAGAAAATGAAGCTTATTTCGAGCAACTAATTAGTTAGATTACCATTTTTTTCGTTTTATTAAAATACGTTAAGATTTCATGGTTTTTTTTTCATTTAAGTTACCAATTTTGTGAGAGAGATTTTATTCCTATAATTAACCCTATCGATCGATGCAATAAAAGTGCAGGGTGTATTTTTTCAGATTAAAGCGGGTTCGATTCCCGCGTGTTGCTAGAAATTTTCGAAAATCTATGAATGCAGTTTTATTTCTTTTAAAAAATAAAGGAATGTTTCCATTAAGTAAAAATGTATATCTCCAGTATTTAGAGTACTTTCCCTCCAGGTGGCATTACAAATTTCCATTATTATATAATTCAATTAATTTATTATATATATATATATATATAATAAATTAATATTTAAAAGTAAATTTTTAAATACGTAATTTTGCAATTTACGTCCATTATAGCAAAGCTCAAGCTAAACTGGTCGATTTGACGTGAAACAATTGATGACACACGTCAATTGTTTCGAACTCAGGCTAGCCAATCGGAGCGCAGTTGTCACAGTAATGATATGGCAGAATAGTTTGCAAACAAATTAAATGACATTTCGTCTCTATTTCTGGTTATATACTCGATGGTCCCACTGCTGGGTACGGGTCTCTTTTAAATTTTTAGATCATAGTCCGCCATGCTGACTCAATGTGGCTTGGGAACTTCATATGCTTTCCAAGGGTTGTAAACTTTTTGCAACGTGCACATAAATTCCGAGAAACGCAAGGGAGCCTGGATTTGAACCCACCTCCTCTGCTTCAGAGGCGGTAGGTCAAACCATTAGGCTGCCACGGCTTTTAATAACTAAGTAAGTACTGTCATATTCTGATATTTAATTTTATGGCAAACGCCGTAACTGGCCATGAGTGGGTTAAGATATTGCTCAAAGTTTCTTGTACTATTGGAGACGATTTTTTATTGTTTCAAACATTTAGATACGTAATTTAGATTGGAAAAAAGTGTCATTTCTTATACAATAAAGAATCTTACACAAGTTACTTCATAATTCTCATGTTGTACAGTAGAGAGCTACGTGGGCAGCTCTTTGCCGTTGTGGCGCGTGGACCGACGGCAGATGGGTGCATTCCTGTGCATCGCCTCCAACGACGTGCCTCCCGCCGTCAGCAAGCGCATCACGCTTAATGTTAATTGTAAGTTTTTTTTTTTTTTTTTTTTTAATTTATTTAATACTTTTACAAAAACTTAAACATATTACAAGCAGCTTAGTATTTTCATTATTAATGTTAATTGTATGTCTTGTTATTAATAATGTTGATTGTAAGTATTTTTATTGATAATGTTAATGTAAGTATTTTTATTAATTAATCCATCAGTTTTTTATGTCACCGACATGTGGTATTACGTTTCCCTTAATATCAGTATTAAGGGAAAGGTGAAACTACATGCGCATGTGGCAATGGCCCTCATATCTTTGCGATTTAAAAACTCTGTCTGGCGCTGCAACTGTTACGGGTAGGCGTGTCGCTTACTATCAGGCGCACGACTTGTTCGCGCCGTTACTTCATATCATCAAAAAGATTTTTCCCTTCAATAAAGGTTTTCTCCAATGCTCTTCTTCATATTGTCTTTTGAGTCATGCGAAAAAAATATTTACTGGATTATTATTAGATTATATAAGATCTCTCATTCACATTTCTTATATATACCTGTATTAGTAAAAAAAAAAGAAATTTATTGAGAATGTTATTTGATTTTTAATTGGGGACTTAATCTCGTATAAAACATATTTTATTTACCTCGACGTTTCGGACATATTGCAACGTCCATGGTCTCGAAGAGACTGAAGAGACGGGTGTCAGAATCTTCTAGCCGTGCGAGTTTTTCTAACTACCCGCACTTGATATTCATAATTTATTTGTGTACCCTAGTTCCTAGTTCCTAGAACCCTAGTTCTCACTAGACCGACACACAACACTCACGACATCCGGCGACTTGTCGGGCGATATTTGATGTCGTTTACAATTGCTGATAACTGGATCCCATGACGATGAAAGCTTAAAACCATCTTCTCGGTTGAAATTACGGTGTTTTTTAATTTCAATAGCTTCACGTACGATTCTACTATATTGATGACGTTCTGTAGAACGGATCTTGGGATTATGAAGCTCAATCCAGTGGTTTGGTCCTGATTCCAGCAAATGCTTGGCTATTTGCAGACTTATTAATCTAACGGTTCTTGAGAGCCGCGATGTGTTCTTTAACTCTTTCCGCTATTCCAATCAAATAAAAAAAATTAAATCAAAGTTTTTATTGACAAATTTAAATGTGTGTGTGTGTATATGTGTGTGTGTGTGTGTGCGTGTGTGCGTGCATGCGTGCGTGCGTACGTGCGTGCGTGCGTGCGTGCGTGCGTGCGTGCGTGCGTGCGTGCGTGCGTGCATGCGTGCGTGCGTGCGTGCGTGCATGTGTGTGTGTGCGTACGTGTATGTGAGTATGAGTGCATGCGTGCTTGTGTGCGTACGTGTATGTGAGTATGAGTGCATGCGTGCTTGCGTACTTATCGGTATATAAAGTTGAGTGTAGGCTTGTATATGTAGGCTTCAATTCACAACAATTCAAACTTGTGCCACATTGTGTTTAGTCCATTTTGCCGTATGTCGTTATCATTGCTCCCCATTCAAGTACTTCTAGCCCATCGTTTAGAACTCGTGTCATAGGTCTGCCGGTTTCCAGTTCTTAATCTTAAAGTACCCATTTTTACTTTAAACCCTTTTTTATGTCCTTCTATATTCTCAAACAAATTAATTTCATAAAGCTTCTTAATCAATTAATCAGTTAATCAAGTATTTATGTTAGTACGTAACGTAGAATGTACAGAGCTTAAGTAAAAGAGCAATTCTCAGAAATATACGATTAAATTACTTCAAGAAAATTCGCACAAATTCGTTTACATTTAACCACAAGCAATATTCTCGAAACTTCGTTTCATCTTTTCCTGGTATTATTTAAAATCTTCCTTTAGTTAGTCTTTGGCATGGAACAGCTAGTGATCTACTAAATTGTGTAATAACTAAAGTCGTAGATATTATTCGTGTATCCTCAGTAGAAATAGAGCTAATTGTGAAAGAGTTTGTCCATGGAAGTGTTAAGAAATGGTACAGGGTTACGCAGTAACAAAATTAAGATACTTTTAATTCCTTATACGAAGTATGTTGGAGTATTGTTCAGTTGTATGGAAACCTTATTAAGCAAACCCATTTTTTACCACTAGAACGTAGCCAAAAAAGGTCCATGCGGCATCTTATTTTCTCAAATGGCATCTCCAGAAAGAAATTACCATCTTACAAGAAACCATTGACACATTTCCGAATGAGTTCCCTAGAAGAACGTTGAACAATTATTGATTTTTTCTTCGTGTCTAAAATTTTCACTCATAAAGTCGACTATCCCCAGTTACTAAATAAATTTAATATACGTGTTCCAGTTAGATACCCTCGGAATAAAGTAATTTCTCTGTTTCCACCGCTACGAAATATGGTTTTTGGATCGAATTCTCCCTTCTCAAGACTCAGAAAATTAGTAAAGGAACATCACTATGTTCACAACACCACCCTTTTGATATTCACAGTAACTCACGTAGCAGAATACGTCCCATTATACTCCCAATTAATTTTATATGTATTTAGGAAATGAAACTATTTTTCCGGATTTAAATCGCGTATATTTGTTTTTTCAAACAAACCGACGTTTCGGGCCCTTTACAGGTCCCATGGTCACGGTTGACTGAGGTGGTACAGTCTTCAACCAGTTATGTCTAATATTGATGCAAACCATTTCCTATGTGCAACAATCGCGAAAACCTAAGAACTAAATATGTATTTTTTGTTTTTTCTTTTTTTTTCTTACAAATAATTCATTTACTCAACAAGTACGTACTTTTATTCTAGTGTAGCTTTTTATTTGTAGTAAATTAAATGCATTGTTATATTTATATTTTATTTTCGTTTTGGTTGCTGCCGTTGTTATTAATTGTTATTGATTTTTGCTTTCAGTTAGTGTTAAATTGTGTTGTCAATTTTTATGGGCTTCTTACTAATTGCAAGTGGTATTTACCTGTAACTGGAATATTTTCTTAAAATTTTAATGAGACCACTACTGAGGTCCTCTATATACAACCAATATTATTATTATTAATGAAAATTTTTGACGCAATGCCAGTTTATGTACCTTAAATAGATTCTAATCGTTATCTTAAATAACGGCCTATGCGATTTTCACCAATAGAAAGCTTGGTGTATTAGGCTGCTAACAGATTGCGTGTTTTCAGTGAATGCGTGAAACCGGTTTCGACTGCAGTTAATGCATGAAGTCGTTATCCGTGACCTCGACTGCATGTAATTGATTGCAACTTCATGCATTAACTGCACGCAGTTGAAACTCTTCATGCATCCGAGATGAGTGGATGCAGTTCATGCGTGAAGTCGTTATCAACTTCATGCAGTTGTGGTCTCGGCTATTTTGAAGAAAGTTGGCACTAGAGATGTTATAGTCCGCATTCTTTGCTATTTACAAAGTAATTACGTGTAGTGTAGTGGACTGTATTTTTTCTTTTTGTTTTTCGAATGTTAGTGTGCATTTGACCTCCATCTCACCTGATGGAAAGTGTGGATGAGGTCAACAATAGAGCATCCACACCTAAATAATGCCTAAACACTCTCGCCTGAAAAAGGTCCAGGTTATAACGTTCAGGCAACAAGTCTGCAGGCAGAGAATTCCACCCCATAGCCGTTCGCCATGTAAATGTGGAAGCGCAACGCTTCTTGCGAATCTTTGGAATATCCACAATATAGGGGTGGAATCCAAGCCTACGCGTAGTCCCCCGATGATAGAAAGGTGAAAGCGGAATTAAATCGTATACTTCCCTCGCACACTCTCCGTAATATATCCTGTACAATACCGATAAGCAGGCAACTTTACGGCGGTGTTTAAGGCTCTGCAACTTCGCCTCTACTAATTCCGAATCACCTATATAATATATATTATATGTATAATATGTATAATATAATGTATGTATAATATGTATTAATAGGTTTGGGTGGGTGCTAACGACGAGTGAGCAAATGTACAGTTTATTAATTTACTACAAAAACACGTACAGCTTATCAATCCAAAACATAAAACAAACGTAAAGAAAATCCCCCTTAAACAATCACGTTTAAATTTAGAATTTAAATAGAAATAAAATTAAAAAAGATTATAAAACATATATACCAAAGAGATTTGTAGTAACTGCTGAGATTCGCTGCATGTTGATACATTAGTTAAAAATGAAGCAACTTCGTTACCCTCTATATACAATCATAACTATACCCTGACACGTCATAATCACACCTTTACTGCTAACATAATTGGATAGACAATTAATTTCTCTCTTTGGCTTTGTTTAGCTATTTGGCACAAGTCATCGAAGATACCGTTTTATGATGACAGTAAACGTCTAGGAAATTGTTTCGCTTATAAAAAAAAGGAAATATATGTAAAAAAAATATTATACAACATCACGTGCGTTGCTTTGATCCCAAAGTAAGTAATTAAACCACTTGTGTCATGGAAATCGGAAACAACTACGACACCATAAACGTCCAGACCTGAGATAGTATAGAAAATTTTGTTCTCTTCATTGACTTGGCCAGAGATCGAACCCGGGACCTCAGAGACACCATGAAAACCGGTGTGCAAACCTCTCAATTACGGAGGTCGTCAAATAGAGGTCGTATAGCATTGTACCCCATGACTTTACCTTATAATATAACAGAGCCGTAAAAACCAATAATAAAAAAAACTCATAACAAGTTCTAAGGTATTCGCGATTGTTACTTAAGAAATGAAACTGTATGCGACGTATGTATGAAACTGTCTGGCACGGTATGCAAGAAGACGTCGGTTCGAATCCGACCGGATCAAAGGAATTTTTTCTGAGTGTTTTTTCTGAGTGTTCGATCTTTGTATTAATAATTATAACAAACTAGTGGAGTAATTTCACAAAAAATAATGGAATATCAATTCAATAAAAATTTAATTAATACAGTGAATAGCGACATCTCTCGCCAGGACTGGTAACTGTATAGGTACTAACTGGGTGATAAATCTGTAATAGATTTCTCATAGATGGCGCTACGACTAAAAAGTC